AGAAATTGAGAAGATACTAAGACTTTTCTTACTTGGCCAACTTACTTTGGATTTGGGGCTGAACTTTAGGAAAATAAAAGTGCAAGATCATGAGCTCCAGATCCTAATGTGTCCCTGTCACCTCCAGCATGTGCATGATGAGCAACATGGGCCTAACACATGCATGTATTTGATTGGCTGGGCAAGACCGTCAAGGGCACCCTGTCCTTTAGCCTCACCAGAATCTCTGCATTAGCTCACTGTAAAGCAGGGTTTCTCAACCTCAGCACTGTTGGCGCTGTGAGCAGGATGATTCTTTATTGTGGGACTGTCCTGGGCATCATAGGATGTTTAGCAGCATGCTTGCCTCTTGTTTAACCCACTGAATACTGACGGTACCCTTCTAAGTGTGACAATCAAAAATGTCTCCAAATATTGCCAAGCGTCTCTGGGGGATGAAATCACTCCTGCTTGCAGATAACTAGTGTGAAGTGATGGGGGAACAACCTAGAATCTTGGGGGAAAAAAGTAAAGGACAAATATTAACCCCAACCCTACCCCAAGCCCCATTTCGTAGTCAGTTTCTAGAAGAACGGCTTAGGTTATTTTTCCATGTACTTCTAGTTACTCTTTGTACTGTGTTTTGACATTGCTAGGAAATATTAGGTTCTTATTTATATACTTTTCTAGTTAATAGAATAAAAATAATAATTAACTCCTAATTTTTAAAGAGTTCAAATGTCTTAAGATACATTGAATACTAATATCATGATAAATTAAATTTCTGTGTTTCACTTTTGGATCTGTTTGGCTTATTCTTTCTTCTGAATATTAGCTGAGGCTGTGAGTGTTAGGGTGTAGTTACCTGAGGGTTTTAGTTCATGGCTTCAATGTCAGGTCCTCCAGTCCACTCTCTCATTTTATAGACGAGGGGTCTGGACAACAGAGAGGTCACAGAACTGTCCTTCCATAGTCCTGGAATTATTGAGGGGCTGGAACAGAACCATGGTCATTTTTTTAATATAGTGCTTTCAGTGCTGTTTTTCTTCTACCTTGTTTAACCAATAAAAGATGAGTCACAATGAGCACTTTGGCATTAAGGGCCTCTGAAAGTACATCAGTGCAAGTATGACAAAAGATTTTCACAAAATTTCTCTTAACCACAACTGGGAAATGAAGTGCATTTCAGGAACATAAGATAGAGGAGACACCAAGCTGATGTCTGTCTGTGTTGTTTCTTTCTGTAAACGACACATGGGAGCCTTGGGTCCTGTAGGTGCTGCTCCTCATCCATACAGAAGCCAATCTGACAGTTTCTCGATGGATGATGCCTCCGATGCTTATTTGCACACCCTGTTCTCAGCTGTAGCATTGGGAAAGATTTTCACAGGATTAACTGAATTTTTTATCTTGGAAGTTAACCAACCAGGCATCCTTTTGGGTTATTTGAATTTGCAGCTTCATGAGTATTTATGCCCTAATATGCAGGTGTTTATCATTTTTCACCTTGAAAATATTAGTATACTCTCTCACACACAAATATTGACTTTTAAGGAATATCTATGGTACATGGGTGCTTTCTCTATTCTTTCTAGCATTTTTATGAACATTTGAAATATTTTCTAATACAAATTATGAATTACATTCTTCCCAGGAATTATAAATTGATAGTCACTCATCTGTGAAGAGAATGACT